CAAAAATCGAAGGTCCAAGGAGTTAAGTATCTTGCCAAGGTTAAACAATTAGTAAGGAACACAGTCAAGATCAGAACTCAGGATCTGTTTCCAAACGGTAAGCTCCTCTTCTTTTCACTGTCTCCTGTCCTTTAAATTCAAAGAACCCTTCGGATGCCAATAATTAAAGGAATTATCAGTTCACAGATTCCAGGCATAGGAAGAAGTCCAGTGAGGGAGCTATTTTGCCCCAAGGAGCTCCTTACAGACGTTGAATATAAATTACCCGTATTAATCATGTGTAAAACTAGCCCACGCTCCCAATGAGGATGGTGGTTTCCAAGTTCATAGCCAATCATCACTGCCCAGGCTAACCTCAATCCTGCCTCTTGTTTACCCTGCAAAATGACCTCCAACATGCCCATAGTCTGATGTGCAGTAGGAGAGGGAAATGTGAGTCTAAGGACCTTTCGGGACTACTCAGGAGAAACACAGGAGTTCTCACCAGTGGCTGCTGAAGCACAATTAGAGTCACGGTTGCTATTCTTTTCAAAGCCTTGTGCAACCCCAGTGGGAGTTTGGACAAGTTTAAATGTGTGATGAGTAACCTTTCTGACACCTACCTTGAGACTGTCAGCCAACTTTGGCATAAAATGCTCATCCTCATCAAAGAATAAAGTTCATTCCCTCCATAGTCTCTACTCAGCATTTTATCAGCAGGCATATGACACTTGGATGCTTTTCTGTTTTCATACAGCTGCTTTAGTGTCAAAGATGTTATGATGAGGCTGTTTTGACCCTGCCATGAGAATATTTTTTAAGCAGTAATGTACACTTATCCCTAACTCATTTTGCTATTATCTTAATTACTCCAAAGTTGGAATTTTTGACACCAACTCCCTGGAATAAATTACCTAGATGTGGACGTGTGGGCCAGAAAATCCATCTGCCCTATAGTCCTCAATGACTAAAACAATGCTAGGGTCTCCCAGTTTTAAATAGTGGTATGAAGACATCTCTTCTCACATCTCCTCTCTGAATCCACCCAAAAGCAATTAGGAGAAGGGAAAACAAAGAAGTTTCTTCTTCACATGAGAATATGAAATACCCATATCTTCAAATCACACGAATAAAGATGGATGGCTAAGTACACTAAAAACTGAATCGAAGTGTGGGAGTATGCAGCCTGCCACTGCAGATTTGAGGCAGAGGCTCTGATCAGGGACCACGGGCAGACTATGAGGACTTCCCTGATTTCCACTTAAAATCTAAGAAGGACAGGAGAACTGGGGCTGCAAGAAGAGAGAGGAAGCCATGGCATCTCTACAAGAAGCAGACTGATGATGCAGCCAAAGGGTGAAGAAATGGCAGGTGCTGTGCAGCTGGTCGAGACTGGTCACACATGTGGGACTTGAACCTGAGCAAGGAAGACTATCTGCCTGGAGGATAATTAAATCCCTGGTGAAAAACATTGACAGAAAAATGTTCAGAGGCAACAGACCAAAGTCTAAGCTGACTGCTACTCTGCAGCATCCTCTGGCAACTCCCCTGCTCTGCTTTCCTGAAAATCACTGATCCAAGAAAAACACCCTCATTCAAACACGAGAAGCAATAATTAAAAACTAACAAACAAACACGAAGAGGTTAGGAACCGGGCATGGTGGCTCAGGCCTGTAATCTCAATGCTTTGGGAGGCTGAAGTAGGTGGATCACTTGAGGTAGGTCAGGAGTTCGAGACCAGCCCCACCAACATGGTGAAACTGCATTTCTACTAAAAATACAAAACTCAGCTGGACATGGTACTGCATACCTGTAATTGCTGCTACTCGGGAGGCTGAGTCAGAAGAATCGCTTCAGCCTGGGAGGTGGAGGTTGCAGTGAGCCAAGATGGCGCCACTGAACTTTAGACTGGGTGACAGAGTGAGACTCTGTTTCAACAGCAATAACAAAAAAAAAAATAAAAAAGAGGCTAGGACATAAGAAAAAATATTTCAAAAATGGAAGAGAAAAAACATAATAAGCAAAGGCTAAGATACACGTGATCTGAATTGAATTTATTTAATTTAATCTCAACAAATAAAAATGTTTAATAAATAGCACTCCATGAAACCAGATAGCTTAGTAAAGTATGGTTCTCTAAAACAAGAGATCATAGAAAGGCTCAGAGAAGAAATGATAATGAAAGGAGATAAAGTACAACCTGTGTAGATCTCAGAAACAATTTATATGAAACAGAGATTATCAGTTCTTGAAGATTTGGTAAAACACAGCCATAAAAATTTCTAACAATTTGATGCCTTTTCTGAATGAAGCAGGAGTTTGTCCACGACCTGCAAAGTCCAGATTGTTCAGGTTTTTAAGGCTAATTATAAGAATTATACTGGTTATATCTCCTGTTTTAATATGTGCTGTTTTGTTGTGATTCATTTAATGTTGTGTATTTCATAATTTTTATAGTGATATCTGGGGATTTTTACTGCAGAAATATGTGGGTTTTTAAAAATTTCTTATTATTTCTGATTTTTAAATGTATTTTCCTGTAGTTAAAGAATGGGACACTTGTCATATTGAATTCTCTGTTGTTTATTAAAATATTGTTATGCACCAGTATGTGGGTAAGTTTTTTTTTTTTTTTTTTTTTTTAAAGACAGAGTCTCGCTCTGTCACCCAGGTTGGAGTGCAGTGGCAGATCTCGGCTCACTGCAACCTCTGCCTCCCTGGTTCAAGCAATTCTCCTGCCTTAGCCTCCTGAGTAGCTATGATTACAGGCGCATGCCACCATGCCCCGCTAATTTTTATATTTTTAGTAGAGACAGGGGTTAACCATGTTGGTCAGGCTGGTCTCGAATTCCTGACCTCATGATCCGCTCGCCTAGGCCTCCCAAAGTGTTGGGATTACAGGCGTGAGTCACCGCGCCTGGCCAGTATGTGGGTAATTTTTCAAATGCTTCTTGTGTGCTGTTTTTGGGGGGGTGCAGATTTGGATGCTTCTCTCTCTCTCTCTCTCTCTTTCTCTCTTCTCCCCGGGTCCTCCTCTATCTCTCTTCCAAGCCTTCAGAGGGTCTCGTGAATAGTTAATAGTCTTGATAATGCACCAGCTTTGAACTGTGATGTGAAGCATTAGAAGGGCCAGCCCGGTGCTTTGGAAACTGCAGAGGAGGAATAAGGGCAATTCCCAACAGTGACAGTGGTCCCCTGCAGGCAGAGCTGGCGCAGGGTCACAGGCACAGGGGCAGCTTGGTGTGGGCAGCAAGACAACAAGGTAGGAGCAGAGAAAGATGAGATAATGGTCCTCGGATACCAGGGCAGGCCTTTGACCACCTCCCGGAGGAAGCTGGGGACACATCTGGAAGGGACTTTTTTCAAAACAATGTAAGGATAAAAAGAAGGCATGACCTGATTCTGTAGTCTTTTACTTTAGGCAACAAACAAATCCTCAGTCCATGGCTCGGCAAGTTGTGACCCACAGGACTTGCTAACCCTACGCTGTGCCATGAGCCAGGCTGCATCACTTCAGCCCAGGGAAAAGATTTATATGCCTTCTTTTGTTTTCTGGGCTCTTCAGAAGCAGAAACAAACGTAGCGAGGTGTGTTTCAGTTTTTAGAGACGTTTCTGCTGAACTTCGCCTTAAAATTTCCCCTGGAATCAAATGATTTTTAAAACAGGCAATGTAGTAACATTGGCCTAGCCTTCCTTTCTTATTTTTTAAAAACATTTCCCTTGTGTTAAACACATACAAAAGAAGTCTTGACACATGAAGGGTTACCAGCACGTTAAACCAGAGACATGCAGTTTTCCTATGAACATTGATTCTCAGATTTGTCCACCTCAAAACCCACCCTGACAAGGAGGAGAGAACGTGAATGCGTAAGGTGAGGGTCTGCAGAGACCCCACAGTATCAGTGACAAACGAGTAGTATAGGAATCTCGCACTTAGGCTACCACAGCACACAACTCCAAAAAATGCCGTCTCATGTGTATACTGTCACAGGGTAGTCTAGGTATTTTATTGTAAAAATTCATAAGAATGATATGACAGCTTTCCTACCGTTTAGTCATTACATAAATTCAGCCCATCAATATTTGTCCAATTTCTAATGAGTATCATTTTCTGAAATTATGTTTTATTATATTTTCTTTAGAGGCAGAAGAGTGATTTAATGATTTTGCTAGTGCCAATTTGTAATTGACAATTTTCTATGAAAGGTACCAGAGTTGTCTTTGGTTTTGATTAATGGCTAGTTGAAAACTAATCTTTGGTTCAGAGCTTTATTGCATTTGAACTGAGCTGCAGCTCACCTGGCTGCCACTTCCTTGAAATACCTGTTTTGAAGGGTTGCACGTTAGCAGGAACAAAAAACCCCAACACATCTAGCAATGATTGTGCTCCAAAGTATACTGTGAGGAAAAACAGGTGGAAAACATTCTAAGAATCTTTGATATTTTTAAGATTTTTATTGCAATGGCATAAGTACTTATTATGAATTAAATTAGGAAGAATAAAAATAAGCACAACACTGACATGTCCACGCAAGGGACAAGCCAAGAAGGGAGGGGATGGGTGTCAAGGAGTAATGCTTTGCAAAGGTGAGGAGCAGTCAGCGGTTTCTGCTTTGCCCCCTTTATTTGGTAATGAAACAGGGCACTTACATTTTGAAGCAGCTGCTTTACATGTCCAAGATAAAATGATCACATTAAAATGTCACTGCTGTCAAAATGTCATGTCAAAATGACCTCATCTAAATGTCCTACCATATGTCAGGCTGTTCCAAGTTTCAAGATTTCACTCTTGCACCCCTAAAATATCACCATGTTCCTGATAAAAGCAAAAATTGTCTTATATATACCACCTTGGTCTCTTTCATACCATTCCTGCTCATCATTTTCTGCTTGATTCACTCTGATCTACAGAAATTCTCCAGGTATTGAATGCAGGTTAATTAATTCTTAACAGCAATAACAAAATTAGCAAAGACTTATAGCCTATACCACATGCCAGATACTGTTTTAAGCATTTTACCTGTATGGACTCAATCCAGCACAATCCACATGAGGGAGGCATGATTTTTATTCCCATTTTCAAGGCTAGGAAACAGGGGGGAAAAAAAGGTCCCTTTAGTATTTTGCCTAAGATCATAGTTAATAAATTGTGTAATTCAGAGTCATAACTAATAGCTCCAGAACCTGGGCTTTCAGCCACTGTTGAAAGTATATGATACTGTATTGTACTATATTATACTATACTATACTATACTATACTATACTATACTATACTATACTATACTACACTATACTATACTATACTCTTCTATACACTATAGAACAAGTGTGAATAATTTCTAATTTATCCTAACCATTCACAAGATTGTTCTTTTTTATTAACATTACCTAAACCTCTGGTGTAGGCAAATACCTTTCTTCATATTATTTGTAATATTGTAGATTATTTTTGAGGTAGATTGGTGTTATGGGCTTTGAGGTAAATTGATATTGTGCTTCCCCTCAAATTCACATATTGAAGTCCTAGCTCCCAGTACTTTAAAATGTGACTATACTTAGATATAGGGCCTTTAGAGACATGATTAAATGAGTATATTTGAGTGGGCCCTAATCTAATCTGATGAGTGCCCTTATGAGAAGAGGAGATGAAGACACAGAGAGAGAGATTCTAGGGAGGCCCATTCACCATGAAAAGGCCATGTGAAGACACAGCAAGAAGGTGGCCATCTGCAAGCCAAGGAGGGAGACCTCAGAAGAAACCAACCCTGCCAACACCTTGATCTTGGACTTCCAGCCTCTAGTACTGAGAGAAAAATAAATGTCTATTGTTTAAGCCACCCTAATTTTGGTATTTTGTTATGGAAGCCCTAATAGATTAGTACAGCTGATAAACTATTTGTGGGTATATAGATCTGTGTATGAATGTCATATACAATCTATTTTTTTATTTTTATTTCTTTTTAATATTTGAATTTCAGACATGCAGCCCATAAAAGAAAGTTTTTCAGGCAGCTGGTAAATAAGGCTGGTTCATATTGTCTGGACTAGAAAGTTTTGATTGACTGTTATATATGAGCATGAGTGCATGGATATTATCTGGATAAAGTCCTAGCAATAGACATTATTCTGCTCAGGCACCAAATCCTAATGTACGTAGAGGAGAATATTATTAGGTGGATTACTGCTGATATTTGTGAATGAAAATTACATATAACTGCTTGAAATAAACCTTTGTTCATTTCACTTGTAAATCTTCATACTTGCTTTAGTTAATGTAGTGACTAGGCAGTTTGTATTAGTGTTTGACTTTAACAAAAGTAAAATAAATGCACACAACGGTAAATATAAATAAGCATAGGCACACAATAGTAATATGAGCTTTCTTTTTTCAGAGAAGTATTAAATATATGTGCACTTAAATTGACATGCGTTATAAAAGTTCATTTGCTGAAAGTTTAAGTGAATTATGTTTTTCTACCAAACAAGATTTTCCGAAGTATATGTAACATTAAGTAGGCAAAAATTCCCAGTAAATAGACTTTGAGTTTAAATAGGAACATTTTAATATCTCATGTAAAAATGCAAAAGAGAAAATTTTACCATACTTTGAATTGTGTTTTTTATCACTAAACATATCTTCAATTAAATTAATGTCAAGAACCTTTGTTTATTGAAAAGTTTAAAACATCCTTTTACGTTGGAAAAGTCTGTACCTTTGAATACAAGACAATCATATACTTTATTGTACCAAAGATCCACCCAGAATTATATAGGCTACTTTACTTACATTCTAAACAAAAGCTCTAAATTGAGACTCATTTGTTAAAACTTCAGGAAAACCTATTACAAACAAAAATTTCTGAACGTGGGATTCCAAATTGACTAAATATTTCTTCATTTCTCCACTACCATTAATTTCATGTTTAAGATAGCAAAATAGGCAATAAAAAGCTAACACCTCCAAAAATAATTGGTATAGCTTCTTTAGAGGAGAATTTAGTAATATTTTCATAATTATGAATCTTGGCCAGATTCAGTTGGCTCACTCTTAGCCTCCCTGCACTTTGGGAGGCCAAGATGAGAGGATTGCTTGAGGCCAGGAGTCAATACCAGCCTGGGGCAACATAGTGAGGCCCCATCTCTACAAAAAAATTAAAATTTTGCTGGGCAGTCTTAGCTACTCCAGAAGGTTGATGGGGAAGGACTGTTTGAGCCCAGGATATCAAGGCTGCAGTGAACTATGATCATGTGCTGCACTCCGGCCTGGATGACAAAATGAGACCTTGTTTCTAAAAACAAAACAAAACAAAAAACAAACCCAAAACCCCCCGCTATGGATATTGCACTCTTTGACTCAGAAATTTCCATTTATCTTTAGGTATACCCAAAAACTTTGTTCACAAAACATATGTACAGGCATGTTCAGTACAGGATTATTTCTAGTAGTAGAATGTTCATCAACACGAGACTATGAAACTAGAGTGTAACCAAATGGAGGAAGATTATGGAACTGTGAAAAAATAGGTATATTTATAGGTAGTGATGTGGAAACATAACTAAGACCAAGCAGAAAGATTAAAGTACAAAATGCCTTATATAATTTGATGACTTTTATATAATTTATTAAAAGGCAACATATAGATCTATACATGCTTGAAGATGCATATCATTGTCTACTTTTCCTGAAATTAATAATCAGACATTTTAATGGGAATTACTTTAGAGGAGTAAGACTGAAGGTGGGGAGAAAGGAGGCTTTCTATCTTTGTTTTGTGCCTTCCCATACTGTTTGAATTTCTGACCATGTTCATACATTGTATGCAATTATTTTAATAGCAAAGGTGGTTAGAGTGAGCTAATGAGCCATTTGTGTTTATTTCCTTTCAGATACTTTTTTGTGTTTGAAAAAAAATTAGGAATATCATTTTAACACAGTTTTCCATTAAAATATTTATCTCGTCTTTTTCAAAAGAATATTTAAAATGTTTCATTTGCTGCTTTCAAATTGATGGCATGGTATTCACTACCAATATCAATGGACTGTATTCGTTTTGGGCACTAGAGGGAGTTTAGCAATGACATAAAATACACTGAAGAACCAATATGGCTCCTAGAGTTCTCTGGCTGGATTTCCTTTCTCCCACTGAGAACCTCTACAGAAAAAAAAGCATTACTTAAACCATGGTTGACTTTGTAGATATATACCTAAGAGTTTTTACATAATTGAATCATATTGTAAGTTCTTCTGGGGAGATTGCTGTTGAGAGGAATCTTAGTGTGGATTGTCTAGAAAATAATGAAGCTTTTGTAAGACAGATAATCACTGCCAGTTTATCATTAGATGACAATATTCTAGTATTTTATAACCCTCTTTTCCAGTAGATACTGTAAATCTGAGGTGTGATTATGATTATATTGGTACAATCAGTTTTGTGTGCCTTGAAGAATATAGGTACTCAATGAATGTTTAATCAACTAACTAAAGAAATAAACAGGCTAAAGAAACAAACAGTTATTGTATCTGGGATGTTTTCCCCCTTATTATCCTAATTTAAATGACTGAATTCTATTCAATAACCCTCATTCTGCACGTATTCATCCATTTCTTTATATGCTCACCATAACTGAGGCAGAGTAACAGTCATTGGTGATAAAATAAAGATTCTTATCTCAAAAACTTTTCAATTTAGTGAGAAGACAGATAAGAATAAACAAATTGAATGAAGAAATGGATGGAGAAGATATGAGAAATAGGTGAGTGAGATAGGCAAAAGGATAAACATGCTAATATAAACATCTGGATTTCCTGTATTTCTGAGCATATGTAGGTTGTACTTCTCCACCCTCTTGAAGTCATTCATTCATTGTTATTTGACTAGCTCTAGCCAATAACATGTGAGTGGAATGGCAATGTGACTGCCAAGCTAAAGTATTGGATGGCTGGTGTTCAGCTCTCCAGCTCTTTCTTCCTTTGATGTTGCAATTAGAAAAGAACATGTCGACTTGAAGGTGTCATGAGATAGAGAAAACTGAAGTGCTGAGCCACCACATGGAAGGTGCCTTGGCTAAAGTGTTGTCATGCTTGGAAAATTAATGTGCATAAAAAAATAACTTTCGTTACTTAAAGCCAATAAAAATTTGGAGCTGTTTGTTACCACAGCATAGCCAAGCCTATCCTGACTGATACACAAGATTAGGCAATGGAGAGTAATGGGGCAGTGCTCCTCCTGTACGATGGCCAAGAAATGGTCCTCTTACAAAGTGGCAATATCTATACAGTTATTGTTATTTGGATGTGAATTTCAGAGTCAAGAAGGGGTAGCCATGGAGAAGAATGGTTCTGGAATATTGCCAGCAGGCCCCTGCTTGAGTCATGGGAGGACACTTGCCAAAAGCATTGATACCTTGGCCTCACCCTAGACCTGCTGCATTAGACCCTCTGGAGGCAACTTTAGGATTCTGTGATTTTAATGAGCTCCCCAGGTTATTCTGATGCACAGCCAGCTCTTGCAACCACTGCATTCAGTTTCAAACCCTGATGGTTTACATTTCTGATATATATGGTATGATATATAGAAATTTCAAATTATATGCCTCTCAGTCTTTTCCTTACTCTGACAGGAAAAAAAAAAAAAAAAAGGGAAAATCACATTTCAATTCTCGTCAAAAATGACTTTCTTTTTTCCCATAATTCTGACAGAATATGATTCCTTATGTGTCTGTCTTAGTTTGATGGAATCGACTTTAAGTCTTCAAGTCAAAATAATATCAAAGACAGGTGTTTTTTATTTGTTTGTCTTATTTTGACAGGATCAAAGTGTAACTTCAAGAATATTATTTTGAGAAAGAAAAATATCGTGGTAGCCAGAATGTTTTTGCCGTCAGAATTTAAAAAAAGAGAAAGAGAATTTACTGAATGCTTAATGTATGCACAATCATGCTGCAAAGTAATATATACTCCTCATTGAAATTTAATTTTCACAAAAATATTGGTGCCTTAAAATTTTTACTCTTTCCTTTCAATGATAGCCTAAAAATTTTTATTTTAATAACTATAT